TGTTCTAGAAACCGAGGCTTGTTCGTTCGGTTTTACATATAACAGAAATACAAGCCGAAGCAATTCATTCGGTTTTATTAAATAAAAGTTCTACAAGCCGAGGCGTGTTCCTTCGGTTTTACATAAAACAGAAGTACAAGCCGAGGCAATTCGTTCGGTTTTATTCACAAATGTTCTAGAAACTGAGGCTCGTTCGTTCGGTTTTACAAAAACAGAAGTACAAGCCGAGGCAATTCATTCGGTTTTATTCACAAATGTTCTAGAAACTGAGGCTCGTTCGTTCGGTTTTACAAAAACAGAAGTACAAGCCGAGACAACCCATTCGGTGTTATTCAAGATCTACAAACCGGTACGTGTTCTTTCGGTCTTACATAAAACGTACAAGCACTAGTCGAAAGAAGTTGATTCGGTTTTACTTCAACGATCCAATCGTTGAATTTAAAATTTTTAATGCATCGATCAAGTTTGTAAATTTTTAAAAAATTTAAAAATTATTTAATACTTTATTTCATTAATTCAAATTTATGTATAATCATAAAATCACTTTATACATTAATTTGAATTAATGAAATGAAGTATCAAATAATTTTTAAATTTTTTAAAAATTTATAAATTTTAATTTATGTATTAAAAACTTTAAATTCAACAATTTGATAATTGAAATTTGATATAAAATATGAGTTATTAAAGTATATATGTTATAACAACCGGGTACTCGACCAATACTATTTAAATTTTGATGCACAGTGTAGAAAAGAATGCAGGTTACAAAATATCTACAAAGAATGAAGGCACATGTTTCCATTTTCAGTAACCAATCCTATTATTTTAGCAGTAATCTAAATATCTATGGAAAATTTTTAGGCATGTGAAGCAACCATTGAAGTGTTCCCAAAATGCCATTGTTCAAGCAAATTCTAGAGTCTATCAGTGGATTTGGCTTAAAAGATTATGTGAATAAGCGGTTGAGCGATGCATATGAAACTTTAAATTTATGTGACTGTGTCAGCAAATTAATATATATCTAATTCAAAATTGGATATTTGATGCAATTTGATGAAAATATTTTGTTTGCATATTACACAAAGGATGAATTTGGAAAATATTTTGTTTGCATATTACACAAAGGATGAATTTGGATATGTAAATTTTTATGATCAATAAGGGAAACAAATTGAACAAATATAACACACAAAACACATTTTTTTAACGTTTTTGTCAATGCATAAAAAAATACAGACAATACTTAGTGGATACAGTTCATCACTTCATCTTTGTTCTCTGTGACCGTTTATCACTTGTAATCACACACATTACATAATATGCAAAATATAACAATGTATTTCATCATCAACATAATAAAACCAGTAATCACACGTTTTTATTTTTTATTTTTAACACAAACAAACATACGTACGTAGTAAAACAAGACCACTTTTGTTAATCTTCATCAAACTCTCTTTACCATCTTACTGCAATAATGGTGTCTTAGCCTACACAAAATATAGAAACAGCTAGCAACGTTAGTTTTATAATAATAATAATGAAGGAGAAAAAAAAATCTAATTTTAATTATAGGAGCAATAAATTCTTTTTATAAATTAAAATTAATCTTTCCACGAAATAAAGCGAGATTCAATGAATCAAATCTAGATATAGTAATTTTTTTTTAACCTTGTACAAAAATAAAATTAAAAACAATTTAACATACGTCTTGCTGGATCTCAATTTGAGAGGAATTTACAAAGCAAACTCAAAAAATCAATAGCCTTTATTTATCAAGAAACTTATATATGTGATGAAATTGATTTTTAGTTACCAACAAATGGGGTTGTGTAAGCTTGAAAAAACTATTTGAAGTAGCCAAAATAACTAAAAGTAATTGTATAATTAAATGTAATAGTTTTGATAATATATAAATTTTTTATAGATGATTTTAAATATTGAATGATATTATTTGAATATTAAATATTTTTAAATAATGATTTTTATGATATTAAAAATATTTTTTCTACTTCATTCATAACATTTCTCACTTTATTTTCTTTTTACTACTTTTATATTTTCTTTAACTATTAAATAAGAAAATTATCTGTGAAAAAATTATATCACTCATGCCCCCGGGTATAGAGGGAACTGTTGTGTGCAAAGGTTTGTGTGCAGTTTTTAACATATACTATAAAAGTTCAAAGAAATTATTGAGAAATGAAATTATCTGGGTAACGCTGGAGGGAAACCCTAAACCAAAAAATTCAGGTTGTACCTCCTCAAGAACAGATTGTTATTGTTAGGGTACATTGTCAATGACTTCAAGGAAAAACACCATTTTGTTTCATCCTTGACTGTATAGTGTCAATTTGGTAGTAAGTGGTTTACTCCAGTTTGACTAACAATGAAATAAAATCTGTTACCATTGTTTTTAGTGATACACTACATTGTCCTTAATGATACACTGTATAGCCCAACTGTTTAACAATTAAAGTTATCAATTTTCATTGACAATATTAGCAAATACAGTGTTTGAAATGCTTTGTACCTTGAGTCTTTTTTCTTTCACAATTCACAACCGTAAACTATAATCAGTGACCATCGGTGTTTGGTATTCTGGAACCAGAACAACTCGTTCTGGTTGCACTCTTAGTATGTTAATTTTGTACTTAGAACAGGTCATTTTAGATGCAAAATTAACACATCAAGAGTGCATCTAGAACGGCTCGTTCTGGTTTCAGAACGGGTCGTTCTGGTTTCAGGTTTTTTCAAAAAATTTGGCGTCCACGTACGCATCCATGTGTGCATCCACGTGGTCAACAATTAACTCCGTTTAAATCATTTGGATGGAAGTCCCAAATTGCAATAATTTAAATTATTAGAGACCAAATTGAGACCAAAAATTAAATTGAGACTAAATTGAAACAAAAAAATGTTATCAGAGACCAAATAAAAGTTTTAACATATATTTTTGTATGTTTTATTTGCATTTCACTATAATCTCGTGCTTTCTTTCGTTTTTCATACTATTGGTTGCAAGTTCTAATAAACCTTATTGATCATAAAAATTTACATATCCAAATTCATCCTTTGTGTAATATGCAAACAAAATATTTTCCAAATTCATCCTTTGTGTAATATGCAAACAAAATATTTTCATCAAATTGCATCAAATATCCAATTTTGAATTAGATATATATTAATTTGCTGACACAGTCACATAAATTTAAAGTTTCATATGCATCGCTCAACCGCTTATTCACATAATCTTTTAAGCCAAATCCACTGATAGACTCTAGAATTTGCTTGAACAATGGCATTTTGGGAACACTTCAATGGTTGCTTCACATGCCTAAAAATTTTCCAGAGATATTTAGAGAGTACGAGAAGATTTGGTGTATCCTCCAGACAGGTACATATAATTTTTTTAACTTTTGGGTATTGTTCTAAGATTTTGAGAACTGAATGGTTATATTTTATATTATTTTATACGGTAACATTTCACTTAATTTTATTTATTTATTTATGTTAGAGCCTTTTATGTTTAGTTTTCTCTGAGATGTTTAGCTACATTCGGGATAAATGCTATTTATCTTCATTGTTTTGGATAAGTTTTAGATTTCCTTGTCGAAAACAGTGTATTCCCATATATCAAGGAGTACTTGACCTCTCGAAGACATTTTTTTATGATTAAATTTTATAGAAAATAATGTTTGAGTATTACATGACAATAAAATATTTTAAATGTACTTAAATAACTAAATTTTTAATAATAAATTTATTTATACTTATTTTATTTAATAACTCATATTTTATATTAAATTTTAAAGATTTAATCATTAAAATTAAAAATTTTAGCATATGGGTTAGATTGTTTTAAAAATAGTTTACAAACCCAATTCGTTTTAACTTGATTAAATTTAATTAAGTATAAGAATTATCCAAACCCAACACAATCTAAATTTTTTACATCTCTACACATGTAATATGTCAACATAATGAAAGAGAGATTTACTATATATATATATATATATATATATATATAATATGTAAATTTCGCCTTCAAATATATTTTGACTTAAAAGAATAGACCCATTTTAAACTCTTACCGAGCTAGGTAGTTGAGTTCTGTTTGCAAGTACAACAATCATTTATAATTACAAGGATCGAGGACATGGATCAAGAGCCAAGGATTGTCTAGAGAAAACTTTTTCTTACCTAGTACATTCAAATCAAGACAAGAATTTTTAGCATACATGTTTTATCCTCTTTTACATATTTTTTGAAAATTTTTTATAAGAAAATTACTATTTGTTTTTTTAAAAACACATAAATAAGTATTTTTTATCAGAAAAAAATAAAGAAAAGTATTAAATAAGAAGAAAAGATTATGTATCATAAAAGAGTTAAGATTTTTCAATATTAAAAATAAAAATAAAGATTTATAATTATAACGATAGAACTGATTCTCCAATACCATCTCTTTTGAATATCTTGTTGGGTTTCCTAAATACCGGGCTTAATTTGAAATGTATTTGTTTATTCGATGCGACCCTTTCCATATATCCGTTTGGGCGAATTTACCAGGTGGCGCCAAACCGAAGGTTCTCTCACCAATAATTTCATATTTTAACGCCCGAATATTCTCTTCTGTTTTTGCCTTAATTAATCAATCACTTCTCTTTCACTCTCTTTATAACCACCCTTGTCTCATTAACAGACGTGGGTACGTACGCAACAAAGGGTGGAATAATAATGCATTAATTTATTAACCTCGGCGGTCTCCTCACTCTTCAACTAAATAAATCTCCAATTCCTGATGCTTTCTTCTTCACTCTTCACTTTCCACTCAAACACAAAGGTAGCCATGGAAACACCAACACCCCGGGCTTTGAAAATATACTTCCTCCCATTCTTCGCACAGGGGCACCTAATCCCACTAGTCCAGCTTGCACGCTTGGTGGCGTCACGTGCCCAGCACGTCACCATCATCACCACCCCCTCCAACGCCCAACTCTTCCACAAAACCCTCAACGACGCCGCCGCCGCCGCCCACCGCGTCCGCGTTCTCCTGATCGACTTCCCAGCCTCCCAGGTTGGCCTCCCCACCGGCGTGGAGAATCTCGTGGCCGCCTCCGACAACGACACCGCCTACAAGATAAGTATGGCGGCGCACCTCATCAAACCCCAAGTGGAGTCCCTCATGAAGCAATCCCCTCCCGATGTGTTCATCCCCGACATCATGTTCACCTGGTCCAAACACTCCTCCACCGCTCTCAACATCCCCAGACTCGTCTTCAGCCCCATTTCAATCTTCGGCGTCTGCATGTTCCACGCCATCAAGGAAAACCCTCAAGCCTTTCATTCTCACTCTCGACCCTATCACATCCCGGCTCTACCACACGCTCTTACCTTGCCCATAAAACCCTCACCTGGTTTCCTTGCTATCACTCAATCTTTGTTGGACGGTGAAGAAGGAAGCCATGGGGTCATCGTAAACAGCTTTGCGGAACTCGACGTGGAGTATACCAAACACTACGAGAATCTCACTGGGAGAAAAGTGTGGCATATTGGACCTAGTTCCCTCATGGTGCAGAAAACAGTGCCTAGTGTTAAAGGAGATGAACACGAATGCCTGACATGGCTCAACTCAAAGGAAAATGATTCGGTCGTTTACATTTGTTTCGGGAGTTTGTCTCTTATTTCGGATAAGCAGCTTTATGAAATAGCCATTGGACTTGAAGCGTCAGGGCATCAGTTTCTCTGGGTGGTTCATCGGAAAAACAAAGACAAAGGCAACGAAGAAGAAGAAACATGGTTGCCGGAAGGGTTTAAGGAGAGGATGAGGGAGAAAAAGAGAGGGATGCTGATAAAGGGGTGGGCCCCACAGCCGTTGATTTTGAACCACGGTGCTGTTGGAGGGTTTGTGACGCACTGTGGGTGGAACTCGGTGGCCGAGGCTATCAGTGCTGGGGTTCCGATGATAACCATGCCGGGGTTTGGTGACCACTACTATACTGAGAAGCTGATAACGGAGGTGCATGGATTTGGGGTGGAGGTGGGCGCAGCGGAGTGGACCCTGTCGCCGTACGAGGGTAAGAAGAGTGTGGTGAGTGGGGAGAGGATAGAGAAGGCTGTGAGGAGGCTGATGGATGGTGGAGAAGGTGAGGGGATTAGGAAGAAAGCGAAGGAGATGAAGTACAAAGCTTGGAAAGCTGTTAATGAAGGTGGATCCTCTCACAACAGTCTCTTGGATTTGGTACAACATCTTAAGAGCTTTGTGCCTAACCTAGAAAAGGTAGCTAATAACTAGTTAAATAGTAATACCTTCAATTTTCATACTCTTCGTGCTACAATCAATGATAATAAGGGGTTTTCTGCCAAATTAAATTAAAAAAATTCTAAAAGTTAAAAATTAAAAAAAACTATTTATCGAAGTAAATAGTTTCTGCTAAGCTGGCATTCATGGAATAAGTGGAGCGGGGGGTTGTGCGCAATCAAGCAACGCACAAATGGAGTAGATGGAACAGGGGGTGTACACAAAAGGAAGTGGATCCTCTGACTTTATGGAGAAAAAATTATGGTAACTTAATACATTTAAACAGTTAGATTTGTAATAATAGATTAGATTGTGACACGTATACAATATATATTTTGGTGTTTAGGGTTTAGGATTTAAATGTACACGTGTCATAATCTGGTTTATTTTTATAAATCTAATAGTTTAAATGCATTAAGTTATCTTAACTTTCATTTTTTAAAGTCAGAAAATCTGAATTCATACAGAAAGAGATCTGGCATGGATGGAGTAGGGGGGTTGTGCACAATCAGTTCTGGCATGGTTGTCCCCTTTGCATGATGAGCATGATCCAGACCAAGAGGTAGAGTGTTTTGTTTTTGTTTTTTTTTTTCTTATATGTATTTTGCTTAACAACATGTAATATTTTTGTTATTGAAGAATAAAACTATAAATGTTTGGTCTTGTCAGGACTTAGTAGCAAATTTAACAAATTATTTTTATTACTACTGCCTCTATATACATGGGTCTTGTTAATTAGTTCATTTCATACACCTATATTTGTCTCTTTCAAATACAATTGACAAACCTTATTAAAAATGAATTCTACAATAGTTTTTAGAGTTGTTTATAGCAATGTTGAGATCATCCAAATAGAAATCTATGTTATAATGAAAATCAGAATGGAAGATTAATAAGTTACGAGGCGACATGACATTTCATCAGTTGTGGCATGCAATACAACGAAGGATAATCAAAATTGATCGCAAACAAGTTCCTAAAATTTATTATCGATGTCCTATATCAATTGAAAATGGTTGCTATCAATATACACTATTCAAGTTATTTCAAGAAGACGATGTCAAGTTTATATTTAACAGTTTTGCTCAAGATCCAAAGTTGTTTGTTATTGATATTTTCATTGTTGTTGAAGATATTCAAATGTCATCATACATAATATCGAATTCAATGGCAAATTATTTTGATCGCCAGTTGAACATACTATAGTTGAAACCGATAAATGAAATTGTATCATTTCAAAGTCATAGTTTTTTTGTTCATTATGGTTTATTGTTCAATGTGTGCTTTATATTACGTTAATTACTTCTTAATGTGTTTGTTGTTATGAATGTATTCACACAAAGATATGTTTCTATTTCAAAAGTTTGTTGTAATGGTTTGCTATTTGACAATGTATATGACCTACAAGTTTCTACAACATTCAATACAAATGAGTTAATTTTTATGAATACTTTTTAATTGTGTAAATTAGTCCTTATTATTTAAAATCAACGATGAGATCTCACCGGTTGGTCATTGTTATTGTTCATGCATCAAGTTTGTGCCTATTACAATTCACTTTTTTTTTTCATTTATCATGTGCCTATTTCATTTGTTCCAAAGCATAAGGATTTGTTTGGATACAAATTAGGAATATTTTTGAGAATTTTTTTACTAAAAATAAAGAATATTTTTTAATAAAAAACTTTTACAAATATTTTTAAAAGTGTATCTAAAGATGCTCGTCACGTTTGGCTACTTCCTTGTTCTCCACGAAGCATTAATGTCTTTCATTTTTGTCTATCATTTTCACGTCTCACTATTTATTTTATCTATCATTTTCTTTATCAATTTTTTCCGCCCTAATCCATGAAGGTGGATGAAAAATATCGATACACTTTCGTCAATACCGACGGCGTTACATTATTGGCTACCATGTCTAGTTGCATCTGAGGCTACCTTATCGGAATGCAACCAACGAAACAGACATTGCAGACTTCCATTTGTCAATACCCATAATGAAATTACTGTGCAATTTTAGCACCGGTATATCCAATACATAATTCTTAGTCGATAACAATATACCAATTTAACACTAACTTTTCATTTATTCAAAACATAATTTTTTCAACATTTTTAATCAACTCAGATAGCTAAAATCAAAATTTGAATTTAAAACCGTAACTTCAAATCTATCAACCAAACTATCCCTAAATATCTAATGAATTGACACATATTCATTAAATTATGATATACATTTTAGGAGTATAATTTCACCTCCGCGCGAAATATCATATTTCTTCTTGTGTAATACTATTATGCGAGAAAAAGTGGAAGGAGCTAATTTATTTTTTTTATATATATCTTGACATATCGATGTTTAAATTTTCATGAAGAGTGACATCGACTTTTGAATATTCCGCTTTCAGCATTCCGACTTTTGAAAGCATGACTCGGTGCAAATAATATGAAAAGTTCAACATTTCTGATTCAGACAAATAGTAGTACTCATTTATTGCCAACTTTTTCCCGATATATGCCAAATTAAGTGGTGGTCGCATCTTCTATGGACATTTTTTTGGTGCCAGGAAAATCAATTACGGAAAGATAAGGGAAGACTTTTCGCCCCTCCTGCATGCATTTATATCAATAAAAATATAGGTTCAAGAGCAACCATTTTACAAACTGGCTGAGAGCAAAAAAAAAAAAAAAATGAAAGTTGAAGTAGAAATCATGTCAAGAGAAGACATTAGGCCTTCTTATCCCACACCCGCTCACCTGAAAACCTTCAAGCTTTCTCTTTTGGATCACCTTATTCCATCACCATATGCGCCTATTATCCTATTCTACACCTCACCTAACAACACTGACCCAACTTATTACCTTTCTCAAGTCCCCAAGAAGTTAGAATTGCTGAAGCAATCTTTATCAGAGACACTACCACAATTCTACCCTCTAGGTGGCAAAATCAAAGAAAACTTGTCCATTGAGTGCAATGATGAAGGTGCTAATTTTGTGCAAGCCAAAGTGAAGTGCCCTCTTGATAAATTTCTAGTCCAACCTCAGCTGAACATACTACACAAGTTTCTTCCCATTGATGTTGCTTCTGAAGAACCAAATTCAGGAACCTATGTGACTAACATTCAAGTAAACATTTTTTCATGTGGGGGAATTGCTATTGGCGTGTGTATTTCTCATCGGATCGTAGATGGGGCTGCATTAAGCACCTTCCTGAAAGGGTGGACAGAGAGGGCCAAAGGATGCAACCAAAACCAATTAATCAAACCAAACTTCATAGCATCTTCTCTTTTCCCATCATCAAACAATCCATGGTTTAGAGACTTATCATTGTGCATGTGGGGTTCCTTGTTAAAACAAGGAAACTGGGTCACAAAGAGGTTTTTGTTTAGAAACTCAGATATAGCCACACTCAAGGGTCAAACACTAGGCATAGAAAACTCCACACGTTTGGAGATAGTTTCTGCTATGCTGTGGAAGTCCCTCATGGATGGCACGGTTTGGTGCACAAAGGGCTTCTTTGGTGACTCATTTGGTGAACCTGCGGAGGAGAATGGATGAGGCTCTTTGTCCTGAACATGCAATGGGGAATCTTGTTTGGCTTGTGGCTGCGGAGAACGTGAGTGATGATGAGATGGGGTTGGAGGAGTTGGTGGGGAAGCTGAGGAGTGCAATATCAAAAGTTGACGGTGCATTTGTTAAAGAATTGAGAGGTGATAAGGGAAGGTCAATTATGGAAGAGAGTCTTGGAGGAATAGGTGAGATGGGATCAAAGACTGAAGTGGATTACTTTGGATTTAGTAGTTGGTGCAATTTGGGGTTCTATGAGGCTGATTTTGGGTGGGGAAAACCCACATGGGTGAGTGGTGTTGGTGCAGTTGGTTCAGTGTTTATGAATCTTATCATCCCTATGGATACAAGGTTGGGAGATGGCATAGAAGTTTGGGTTACCTTGGAGGAGGAGCACATGACTCTTTTGGAAGCAGACCCTGAATTCCTCACTTATGCAACCCTGGATCCAAGTCCTTTGGAAATCAGTTCCAAGTTCTAGAATTAAAACCTTTTTTCTAGAAGAAAAATATGTGTATCTTTCATCCTAAGTAATTCTACTTGAGATGGTAAGATCATTATAAGCTTTCTCTTAGTATCTTTCGTATGAAGAATTTACAATTCATGCTAAAACATTCTTAGTTATTTAACCAATTGTATACCCAATATTTTATTCAAATTCGAGTATTTCTCCGAGCTTTTTCCACGGTTAGATGTCTATGCCTATTAATATAAAATTTATCGTCTCTAAAATTAAAAAAAAAAAATTAGTATTTTAGTCAGTGTATTATACAAAATAAGTATTTATTTCATATAATTAAAACTCATAACAAATAAATATTTAAATATAAAAATTATATAATAATTTAAACTCATAATAAAAAATATATTTAAATATATAAATTCTGTTTTATGTTTATACTTAATAATTTAAATTGTTATATAAATATTTTTTAATTATTGACAATTTGTTTCCCTAGGATGGATTTCACGAAAAAAGTTTAATCCTAAATTCAAACCTCGTTATACCAAAAAAATAAAACGCGAAACTTATATTAAATAAAGTCAAATACCAAAAAATGCTTAATTCAAAGAATGAGAAGAATAAGAATCGCATTTTTTAAATTATAATAAAAAATAGATAATTTTGTGCTAAATCTTGTGACATATTAGTCGTTGTGCTAAACTTTTTTGTTTTTGTTTTTGTATTAACTGATCCAAAACATTAGAAATACTAACTAGTTCATAGTTGTAGCACTCATCTCTGTCTAGCCTAGCCGCCAAGAAATCCCGAAAGTAAATACTAGTAATATATTAAAAGAAGAGGAAATTAAATACATATGGAAAACGATTGAGTTAGAATAATCAATCAATGTGAAGGACCTCTAAACTACAATTCAACAACTTCGTTTTCCCTGCACTCCCCCACATCAATCACCAGACTTCCTTTCTTTTTTGTTCGTCGAACTCTACAGCAATTTCTCCTAGGAGCCTGCACAAAAACAACACAGCCAAACCCACTTGAGTAAGCAACAAGTTGGAGTTTCATTCACTTCATGTTTTCTGAAATAAAGAAAGTTACCTTGTCCCACAAAAGCGGGTCGGGTTTCTTGTAAACCTCAACGAGTTTGATCTGGGTGGGGTCCTCCATTTTCCACTTGCAAGGCGGGTTCTGCTGAAGCCGGGTGTATTGAGTTGCAGTTTCATTAGAAGCCTTGTCGTGAAGCAGTGCGTTAGAGAAATAATAGACAAATGGTTTCTGACAAACGTTACGGCTGACGGGGCGCGTGTTGAAGGGATAAGCGGTGTAATCGGCTCGCTTGTACCAGTTCAAGAACGTCCTCGCCGGCATCTCCATTTCCCGGGCAGAGAAGATGCCTCGGAATATTTGAACCGCGTAGCCCCACGAAACCGATACGGTCCAGCTACGCTCCTTGTCGTAGCAGATCGATTGCTGCATCAGCCCCGCCGGGTCCACCTTCATCGGCCCGTTAAGCCGCTTCAGGGCCTCCACCCGGCTCACGTTTGGAAATATGGGCTCTACCACGTCCAAGTGATGGAGGGATACCAGGGGCGCAACTGGATGGGCCGCCAGCAGCCCAAACAGATTCCCGTACACATCAAACTATTCACCAAACCAAAATTATAAGACCTTCATTTCTATACACTAAAATATTATCGCAACTATAAAAAACTCGATACATCCTATGCCTTTGTACTTAACGCGACTTTAATTTTGTAGGTGAAGTAGGAACTGGGGAAGGGTCTTATCTTGTAGACTTGGACAAAAGTTTACCAATCATGGAGCAGAGCAGATTGTGGCATGTTTTTCCATGGTGGGGACTGCGACGTGTCTCATAGCGTGTGACTTAGACTTATTATATTCAATTTTATGTCCCCTAAGAATATTAGTGGGGTCGCTTCAGCTGCACCCTTAGTCATGTCATTGCAAAATTACCATTGTTGTGTGACACGTGCATGGTGCATGCCTTGCACGATTAGATATTGCCCCCACGATATGATCTTTTTATATTTTGTTAAATAAATGCAAAATGTTGTAATTGAGAACCAAAAAAGCATAGATTGAAACTAGTGGTAATAAAATTGACTTTCGAGTCGGTGGAAACGCGGAACATATGGAAGTCAATTATGGGAGACCATATATGATTTCCAAGATCACCTTACTGAAAATTCTAATAAATTTTTCCCCTAACAACAAATAGATTGACAATTTAATTAAATTTGCCCCACTTTTCTGTCATTATCGACATTAAAAGTCAATTACATTGGGTAAGTAGCCATAAATGGTATCCACCTTGTGCACCCAAAAAAAGATCAGATACTTCTTCAAGAGAAAAAGTTTGGTTTAATGTATACCATCTATGTTCTAGCATCTATTGTTCTACTGGTTGTCTTTTCTGTTTTTACATTTAACTGTGCTATCTTTTTCTTCTTCTTTTTTATCATTTTTCGTTACGAGCCACTACATATATGGCCCTGTAGCAATTTTATTTTGTCGTCATCACTCTTCATATAATAAATTAATACCGACCTCTCAAATCTCTCCAAATCATATAGATTGTCTTAGAAAAATCAATTTCATCAATAAAGCGAAAGCGAAATTGTCGAAAACAACCAATAACATACAAAAGTAACAAAATTTCACTGACATAAGAAAAATAAATTCATAAATCCTAAAAGTATCTTATAATTTATTATAAACTCTACATATTTAACATATATTTAAACATATTTTTTTAATATAATCTCGGGAAGTAAAAAATGTTACATAAAGAATCCATTCCCAACCTGTAAAGGTTATTTTCTAATCAAACATGTCTCTGGCCCTTCACAACCGAAATGCTAACATATTCATAATAATCATGAAGTTAAACTTTCCTTCAGCTTTTCCAAAACTATCTTTTTTATATATAAAAATAAAAATCATAATAATGATAATAGAATTTAAATTTGACCTAATTTAAACTTTGAAATCTTTAACTACTAGATCGACATCTTATATACTATTAAATTATTATAAATAATATGACAACACATCCTAATAATAAATAAAATAAAATAAAATAAAAACACACACACACACTACATTTTCATTATGTTAAAACATTTTTTTCTTTTGAGGGATATCATTATGTTAACACAAACTGAACCTAAAATGTTTTTCAAATTTTAATGATCAAATATGAACACAATTATCCTCCACCTCCTTTTCTCACTAACCCACTTTCTCGACCACTTCCAATAATTAAATTTCTCTATTACAATCATACCAATCATATAAGTTGACTAAGTCAATATGTGAAGTCACATACAGAGTTAATTTCCCAGTCATGTTTTTCCTTTTCTGTCTAGTTTCACCCTTCCCCCAATTTCCTACCCTTTCCTAGTAACGAAACAGTAACAGTGCCAAAAACATAACATAAAAAAAAGAAATAAAAATTGCAAAGTACTAACCTGATGAAACCCTTTCTCCTTGGTGAGTGGAACCCCTAATTCTGCCATACAAGCCTGAATCCTATCATCAGAGCCATACAACCCAGGATACCTCTGAATGCACCTATCCTGCATTTTCTCCAATGCCACGGCCAAGGGATAACTAATGGCAAATCCACCACCCCCATAAGCCATATTATAAGAAAAATAAATGTTCTGCAAGTGACTCTCGGAGGAACTCCCAATGTAATAAAACTGATTGTGATCATATTTCTGCAAAACCTTGACCAAATTCTCAGCCACAAAGAAGGTATCATCATCCCCCATCACAAACCACCTCACACCCTTCATCCCAAGCCTCAGCGTCTCAGACACTATGCGCGAGATCCTAATAGCTGACCTGTGACCCTTAGGGTTCCTATACTTGAATTTGGAAGTGTCCTTGGAGATCCTCAATGGGGGCAAGGACCTCTCATCAGAAGGATCAGTTTTCACCTTCTGCTCCAACCACACCACGCCACGCATCTCCCTCGGCCTCCACCATAGCTTGATGTACTCCTTTCTCTGCTTCCAGAGCTTCGCTGAGGCTCCTATGCCGAACACTATGTGCGAAACGTTGGTTTCTTCAAATGGCGGTGACTCCTGCTGAGATATTTGTTCACGAGCGATGGGAATGTGGAGGGCTTCGTGATGATTGTGATCGCAATCGTAGGAGTGGCTAACGAATCTGAGGGAGTAGAAGAGGTAGGAGATGGAGATTAAGAGGAAGAAGAAAGCCATTAGCTTTGAGAAACTCCATGAGGAGTAGAGATGATGATGATGATGAAGGTGGTGATCTGGGTCTTTGAAATTGTTCTTCATTGTGGACATGGTCACATGAGATGAATCGAAATTCGAAACCCTAAAATGTGATCATAACTTACACTACTCGGATTCATGAGAACCCCATCAGAGAAAAAGGGTTAGAGAGAGAGAGAGGGAGAAGATTAGATTTGGTAAAGTTTTGAGCTCTCTGCTAACAGTGCCACGGAATCGGGTGGGTTATATATGGGACAGAAAACACGAAACAAATTAACAGAGACGTTCTTTGAACTTAACAGCAATTCTTAAATTGAACAATAGATAGGACAATGCCAAAAGGCAAACATCGGGTGTTCATCCTATATGGATTAAAGAAGAAAAAAACTGAAATTTCAAATTAAATTCATTTCATTGTTACCTTCTTATTTAAAAGTCAAACTAAATTAAATGTAATTAATTCGGTTACTAAATTTATATTTTTCAATTCAAACAAATTTAATAAATTATTTTTTATTTTTAATTAATATATTTTGAATATATAGTTTAAATTTTTCTTTAATTTTCATTTTATATTTTGCTTTTAATTTTTTTCCAAATAATTTATAATTATTAATAAAGATAATAGTCCTTTTAATAAATGCTTTCATCTTATACACACACAAAAAAATTAATTTCTTTCATCTTTATGTTTTCTTTAACTTTTTTGTTTATTAAAATATATAATGACTCTTTTTTTAATCCACTAGACTTATAATAATAATTCAAATATTCAAATTTAGGATAATGTATTACCTTAAATCTCTTACTACTACATTGACTCTAATAGTTTATAATAACTCAATTATAAAAATATGCTAAATAGAGGATAAAATAATATATATATATATATATATATATATATATAAATAAAAGTTTACTTATATTTTCTTTTCATTCAATAATTTGTATTATACATTAAATTTTAATGATTTAATTGTTAAATTAAAATTTTTTAATATATAGATTAAATATGAAAATTTTTAAAATTTTGAAAACTATTTAATACTCTATTTTATTAATTCAAAATAATAGATGTTCATAAAAGTATTTCATATGTTAACTTGAATTAATTAAACGGAGTATCAAATAATTTTTAAATTTTTGAAAAAATTGTATACTTGATCTATGCATTAAAAAATTTTAATTTAATGATTGGATCGTTAAAATTTGATATAGAACATAAGTTATTAAATGGAATAAGTGTAGATATATTTACCCTTTGAGTAAGTGAATCCCCTCTCTCTATATATAATTGTGTGTAACTATTAAGTGTCTTAATTTACTAGTATTATATAATATCAAATATCTTGATTTTCCATGTTTATTGTGCAAACTTTTTCTATTTTCTATCTTTTTATTATATATGTCTCTATATATAAATTAAAATAATTATATTTTTAAAGATTATTTTTCAACAAAAATATTTTGAATTGTTTTTCTTTCGATGATAACATTTTTAAGATATTTTTTCTTAACTTATTATTAACCTTCAATGATAACATTTTTAAAAGCTTTTATTTAACTAAAGAGTTTTTAGAGATTTTTTTAACTCCTTATCTAATTCAGTTTTTTATTTATTATAATTATTTATGATTACATTTTAATATTTTAAAAATAAATTATCAATAAATGAAAATAATATTATACTACGATATATTATTTATCATAAATTATTATTATCAATTATTGGATAATACTTCACTTTTTTCATTAAGTTTGTAGAGAAAAAAAATCAAATTTAGATGAAATGTGTGCAATTAAGTAGAAAATGGACCATTATTACATGCATGGTCATGTCACAAGTAGAAGCACATCCATGTTAAGAAGCACAATCATGCTTACCAACAGTACAATCATACTTGGTCAATGAAGCACACCCTTCCCACTTTTAAAGCACCCTCGTGTCTCCGTCCATTGTGTTGTGAAGCACAATTATACTTACTAATATGCATGGTTGTGCTTGGCTAACTAAGCACGCTTATGCTCCCTTTGTCCTACACTTAAGTATGTCATGAACACAACTATGTTTCCCTAATGCACAACATACTTAAAAGTCCGCTCTTGTATTTTTGACTATAAATAAGGATGTCTAGTGTACATTGTTATCATCCAACTTTTATCTAGTTTTAACTATATCTTTTCTTATATTTTCTTCTATTTCTTGTAAGGGTTAAAGGTCATACCCTTGGAGAAGGATTCTCCTTCTCGCAGTTAATTTTTTTTCCCTTTATTTAAAGGATTCTAGTAACATATCTGACTAATTCTTTCATTTTAAGGTTGTGATCTAATTGTTCTTTGTAAGTCTTCAATGATAAATTCATGAATTATTTTTGTTAATTGTCAAATTATTTTAGTATATTATTTATTATATTAGTTAGCCAGAAGTGCATGATCAAAATCTTTTAATCAACAAAAATATAAAATAAATATGTTATGAGAATTTATTTTAGAATAAAACTTTTATAATCAATTTAGGTTTTTCTTAAGATAAACATGTTAGCTTTCTAGAATCATAGAGTTGTTAATAATTTTAGAAGTAAAATTGATAATATTATTTTATAATTTATGAACTTTATCCCGAAAGATTGGAAAAAATAAGTTACGTTTTTAGGGTTTTTTCTTTGAATTTCAATAAAAAAAAATTTCTTAGTTTTAATTTCTAAATTTTAAATTAATATTCTCTCAAACAAGTTTTGTTCTTATCAAATTACTAAAAGTCATGATTAAATTGATAATTAGTTGAATCTAATCCTTTGAGTTCAATATATAAACTTTATTCATTGTTACTTCTGTAGAAATGTACAATTGTTTTAAGTGCATTTCACATATGCAACACCAATCTATGAACACTTTTGACAATATATAATCTATTGATTTTTTTATTTACAAAAAATTAAATATAAATTTTAATTTTATTGTAGATAAATAATTTTATACTTTCAATTAATAAGATATAATTAGTTATGATTTTAAAAATAATTATTCAAAAGTTAATAAAATATTTATTATCATAGCAATAAAATTTAATCTCAAACCGCTCGTATAAACTATTTAAATTTCACCTCTAAACTAATAGTCTAACGAAGAAAACTAATAAGTTTACGACACACAACAAATTATAATTAAACAAAGCATAAAATATATTTGTACTTTCAGTTATTTTAATTGAATTCTTAAATATATTTCAAATAAACAATATATATTAATTCATTCACAAAATAAGTTTAAAATATAATGTATGACGAGCGTATAATTTTTTTAAAGTATAATGACTCTAGTCGATCGTATATTTATTTTTTAATGGATGATCTTAATTATCGTATTAAAGAAATTATATTGTCGTTTATATAAGTTAACTTCATATATTTTATAGTTAATCAAAAAAATATTTTATTATATATTTTCACTTCCTACTCTGCCTTTACACGTGTCTACGCACAAAATCACTAACTAAAGGATAACGTAGAAAAAACAAGTGTTTCTTGTTTTTCTCCGCTTAACAGAAATATCAACTTCCCTCACGAACTCAACATATGTTTTTACCTATATACTGAACCATGGTAACGCTCTCCGAACTCATACGAGAAACTTGGAAGAACTATCATGGAAATTGCTTGCATAACTGTTAATTTGCTATGAAGATAAAGGATTTGAGATGCATTTATCTGTGATTGTATAACTTGCCAACAACATTGCATTTGGTTCAAATCTCGAATCTACTACTGCAACACGCAACTATTAATATGGCATATGTTTTGATAATAAATGATAACTGATTAAAAATTAAAGTATGAGAGTATGTTGTTATTGTATTAAAAACTGGCGAATAATTAGTTGCAGAAGAGTGTGTTTACCTTCTCAGTTATCATACTCTTGTATTACTTTATAAGTTAATTTATATAAACATTTATAACCTTTTTAATTAGATTTGTTTTGTCTAATTTTCAAAATATAATTCTCCATATGAATAAGAATATCTATCGTGTACAAATGTGTTTTTAAAAGTTAATTTTCAAATGAGAATATTTTTCCTTTTAATAGGATATTTTTTATGAATTTTTCTTTATTTTTTAATTTATCATTTTATATTTATTTCTTAATTAAATTTTGTTAGATTTCAAGTATGAAGTGAGTCTCACATTGGTTAGAATTAAATGTTATTGTTGAGTAATATATAAGTGAGAAAGACATACCTACTTAATGTTTTAAGGTTTTGAGTTATGTTATGGTGTTAAGTTCATTTGTATAGATTATTCATTATCCATTGTGTGAAGTGTTTTCTAATAGTGGTATCAGAACTAATAATTTTATCAAGTGACTAGTAATTAACGCAGACGAGTGTTAAGTAATGGAATTGGTTTTGGACGCCAAACGTGAATTGGCGTAGGGTCCAAGAATAAAATCATACGTGTAGCAAAAAGTCTCCCAAGAGGTGTGGAGGATGTGTTCCATTGATGTGCAACGACAGTACAAGTAGGCCATCATTGAATGCTCATAGACAAAAAAAATACTTCTACTTGAAGGGAGTGTGACTGTGTGAAAGAGACTCATACTTGAGGGGGAGTGTTGGAGTTCAAGTGTGAAGTGAGTCTCACATCAATTATGATTGGGCATATTAAGTAATATATAAGTGAGAAAGACCCACCAACTTAATGCTTTAAGGTTTTGGGTTGAGATGTGGTGTCAAGCTCACTTATGTAATGTACTCATTAGTCACTACAATGGATGGAGTGCTCTTTAGTGTTAAAACTCCTCGACCTAACAATGTTATTAGAGTCGATGGTTCAATGGAATTGGTGATGGATCCTTCCTAAAGTGAAGAGAGTGTGTTCCATTAAGTGTGTTAAAGTGTGCTAAAGTATTATGACTAACGAATTTAAATGTTCAAATGAATGTTTTATACCTTAACAAATCAATAGTTGTTGTCTTAGAACTCCTATTCTGTTAAGAGTGTATAAAAGCATGAAAAGTAGTTGAAAAAAGGACAAAGATCCTGAATTTCACGGAAAAGGCATTGAAAAAGGACTATATTCTTGCCTATACGCTGAATTTGCTTCCTGTTATTCACACTTCCTACTTTACTCTAATAAGTAGCTTGATTTATCAATGATAAAGAGTACATTTAGGTGAAACACATTAATTGAAGCATTTAATGCACCAACGAATACTTTCTCTCTCTAAAAATCAAATGAAGGAGTAAGACGAAATAGTTCTATGAATCAGACTCGAGAAACTACAATGCTCATCTCTTTCAAAGCTACTATATAAAGTTCTAAAACTCAA